TGACCATTTTGTGTCTATTTTGTGCTGGCACAAAAATTCTTGGATGCTAAAAGCTAGCTGTATTGTGTGAAAACCATTGGGTTCTGTCTGCTGTGTTACTCTCTATGGGGTTGAGGGGTCTCCCATTTACACTTAGCAAAGTCCCTTTGGTCAACCCCAGGTGGTGTCTTGAAGCACAATCTAGCTGAGCAGTGAGAAGCCATCCGCTTTCTCAGTTCAAGGTTGTCTGCCTTCTTCAATACATAGGGTTGACTGAGCTAACACTTTGTTGCAAACGTCCCTTCTTTGAGGTTCACTGAAAAATGTTGCTGTGTCTGATCTAAATGTTTGCATTTTGTTCAACTAAGTTAATATCTGTATATTGCAAGTTTTGTTAAAAATAAGACACTTTCTTGAGTTTTTAAGTCTTTATCTCCTGTTCTAAGGTGCCTTTCTCCCCTCCCACTGACTCAGTGATTCTGAAAGTTCTTGATTTGAAGGTAAAACAAGTGTCACAGAGAGGAGGAAATCAGGCACACAAAGCGACTAACTTGCATGCCCATTTGCAAAGCGAAACATAAGGAATGATGAAAATGAGCAACTAAATTAATGGGTCACTTCAGATTGAGAAAAATCAGAAATATTAACTTACCACCCCAGAAGCTGATATTTTTTTTTGCCTTAAAATGACATGGTTGTGCTTTTGTAAGAGAAACTTAATTTAATATAATTATGTGCATTTAAATGAGCAGTTCTAGAAGTCATCTATGACAATTCAACTGTCTGTCTCCTGAAAAAAGTAAAATCAGGAATATCATATCCATTTCAAGCTACCGTTCAAATTAATTTCTTTTGCTCTCTTTTACTGGGATTATTTGTTTTAAAGTAAAACATTAAAGAGATGTCTATTAACAGCTGGTGTTGGCTGCTTTTGTCTGGTACTGATTGGTTCTGAACTGACTGGTTCCAGTCAACCAAACTGATCTCATATAGATTTGGGGTTGAAATTCAAAATTATCCTTTTGCACTGTTGCTGAAAAAATCATCGGTAATTTGGAAAGGGGAGAAATTTGCAAGTGTTTTTAGGGTATTATAAGAAAAATTAATTTGATATTATACTAGAGATTTATTTTGATATACTTACATATTTTTGTTTGGTATCGCAAAACTCAGATGCCAGCTCAGGTGAGCCTGGTGTTAACAATAGTTAAAGGGTTTGCTAAACGTATGATAAGAAAGGCACTTTCCCAAATGCTGCAGCCCCCGGCTACTCAGAATGACCGTTTTTAGCATCTACCCAACTCTATCTCCAGGGAAGGGCTTCTGCTCCAAAAGAGATGGTTCCCTTTTGCTGTAAAAAAATCTCACTCCTAGTCCACTAGCATTTCTGCACCAAGTGTCCATGACTAATTCTAGTGGAATTATTTTAAAGGAGGCTCAGACTGTTAGAACTCTGGAACATAAAGCCAAAAAGCCCTAAGAGAGATGTTTTAAACAGGAACGGGAGGATGGGGGGGTGTAACGTAGGGCACCTTCTCACCATGGTCTACGGAGATCAGACAAGGACGTGCCTATACTAACACTTTCTAGGGACTCATGGAAATAATCCATGTGGAACATGCTTCCTGAGCAACTTAAAAGTGTAAACAGCTGCCAAACACTTTTGGAACCCCTTTAACAGTACCTCTCACCCCGCATCATTTGAAAGCAAAACACACATTACTCTACCCCAATCATTGATAAAAGTAGGTTCTCAGGCCTTGAAACAGCCACTTTTATGAGCCTGATTTCAACCGCTTCAAGAATCTAGTAGTGAAAATTGTTTCTTTAAAAATGTTTAAGGAGTGGATAACAACTCAGTGGTAGAGCCTGTGCTTAGCATGCAGCGAGTCCTGGGTTTGATCCCCAGGACCGCCACTAAAAATAAAGAAAGAAACCTATTTACTTCCTCAGCTCAAAAAATAAATAAAATAAAAAATAAATCTAATTACTCTGCCCTCCCCCAAAAGTTTACATTTTAATGAGTAACAGTAAGACTTCACACTCTGACTTGCCTAACTCCAAATTAGCGAGGTTTTTACTACATTTCAAAGCAGGAATTTATCAGATACACTATGTGCAAACTATAGATATACGCCCTGCCTGGAAATCACAGCACCACAAAACTAGTGAACGGCAATTTTCCTGTTCAAATAAATAAATAGAAAATCCAAAGGGACACCGGTGTGATCTATTTCTCTGTCCATTCCCATGGCTGGCTTCATTCTTCTCCTGATTTTGTTGACCAGTTGAAATGCCATGTGCTCTGGGATAAACCTCACCTACTTTCACTGTCATCTACATTCTCAACGTTTCTACCTGTTTGCTCTTTTTCTTCTCTTCAGTGATGCTCATCTCTTTCCACTACTTGCTTCTTCCTTCCCCTTTGGTTTGCCTACACTGGTGTGACTACCTTCCTAGATGCCATCGCCTGACCACCCCATGACCCCAAAGGGCTCACTCCTTCCTCCTGCTGTGGCTCAGGATGCCACTCACCCTTGGGAGAGCCGTGAAGACATCACACCACCCACGCCCCGGGTCCATGCTTCTGAGCATCTCTGAATCTCCTCACCTGAGCCCTCTGGGTGGTGATGCAACACCACTCCTCTTACCAGAGGCCTGTGGCTGCACTTGGTGGCGGGGATACCTGTCACTCCACAGTGGGAGCTCTTGCCTTAGGGGAGGCTAATTATTCTGCTCTGGACCCCCACGCCCCTGGCTGTCCCCTGCTGCCACTCTCCCCCCTAACTGTAGCATCTCACTCTTACTCTTTCTTCTCAGAAACAGAAGTAAGCCTCTCCCACATTACCAGCACCTCTCGAGAATGTACCTTCCTCTTTTACTCTACCTCCCACCTTCCCTTTAGAACCAAGTATCCATCCACTTTCCCCAGCATCCATCCTGACCAGCAAGACAGTCAGAGCCACGCCCACCTAACCCCACAGAAACCATCTCCGTTCCATCATCCATGAGCTCTGGAGGCTGATTCAATGGGCACCTTCAGTCAGCATCCCTTTTGGCTTTTCTGGAGTTGACCCTGAACACTGCCCTCTCCAGATCATCTTCATTCACTTTTTCAAACTCTTTGTGCATCCTCCCAGATTCCGTCCTCAGCCTCTTCCCTTTCCCTCACCCTCCGTGCTCTCCCCAAGGTGGCTTCACTGATGACCGCCTAGGCAGCATGCCCCACCCCATCATGTATCTCCAGCCCAGACTTCCCTTCTGAGTAGTGCCTCTCAGCAACTTCATTTGGGCATCACCTCGGATGCCAGACAGACATCTCAAGGGCAGGAGCATCTCACTGATGACACATCTCAAGCTTCTCACAATGTGCCCTGCAGGCAGCAGGTACTCAAGAATGCTGAGGCAGTGAAAGTGCCTCTCTGGGCCTTTCACTCAGCTTTCAGCAACTTCCAACCCCTAACTTTCCAGGCCTCTCATTCAAGAAGACTGTGATCATCAGGCTCACTCACACTGTCATAGCTTTCATCTGTTACTCCTCCCTGCAACAGGGAGAAGCAGCCCCTCTCTCATGCCCGCCCAGCCCTCAGCATCCTTCACCTCTGTCCCTCCTCTGTTCCCACATACAATTGGCTCAGACCCCTCAGACAGCACCCAGGCCTATGCTTTGCCCATCCACCAGGAAAGACTGCTCAAACTTCACTGTAAGTTCCAAGGAAAAAGGGAGCTTAGTCTCCATCCCCATCCCTGTTCCCCACTTTCCTTTACATCATACCAATGCCAAGCCCACAGCCAGAGACAGCCCAGACTTTAAAATAACAATTCATGGTGGGGTGGGTATAGCTTAGTGGTAGCATACATGAGGTCCTGGGTTCAATCCCCAGTACCTCCATCTAAAAAAATTTTTAATAAAATAAAGTAACAGCTCATGCTTACTGACTGCCCAGTATTGTGCCAATCAGTCTCCCCAGCTGTTATCTAATGTAATCCTCACCACGTGACCACGGGTAATCCGTCAGTTAGAAATGGGCCTGGCTGAAAGGACCATAAACACAAAGACATTCTATTACCCCGCATAACTGAACTTCAGAGGGAGGGGGCTCCAGGCAGAGCACAATTTGCTCCATTACATCATCAAGGTTTCCGGTTCTGTGTGTCTGTGGTCATCCTGGTCAGTCAGGCACTGACACTAGTGGTTCCTCTCATTGTCCTCAGATGGCTCCAGGGGCAAGAGGCACCACACGCACCCCCCCATCACATCACAGGGGACAGGTGGAGTGGGGAGTCCGCCCCCCAAGTGGGATAGAAATCCTTTCCTGACACCCTATTAAACTAATAGTCACATGTTTAGTCCCAAACCTGGAAACAGTCCTATGTGTATGCCCTAATTGGCTTAAAGCCATCAAAACTCCCCCTTTGGAGTTTGGCTGTAGTCCATTATGCTGGGGAGAGTCCCAAATGTGGATTTGGCATCCAGGAAAGTTCTGGAATGGAGATTTAGGAAGCCTTACTAGTCAATTTATTCATGACTGGTGGGACCTCGGGATCCTTTGCTCCCAGAAATACTCCACAGTCCCACCCACAAAAGGCTGGCAGGCAATCAGGAACCATGCCTGAGCACTCACCTCACCAAGCTGCCAGGGTGGGACCACGTTCTGCCTCCATCCACACTCCCAGCTTTCTCCTCTCTTCTTTTGTCTACCTTTTTAGGTCCAAAAGGACCCTGGGGCTGCTAGGAGGGTCCCTTCTTTTCTAGAAGCCCTTGTTTTTATTTAACCCAGAGCTGCCTGCCCAGGCTCCAGGTGTCAGAGAAGAAGTTTGTGAAGGAGATATCAGCTCATCCCAGTTCCCCGGATCTCTGGACCCACCCAGAAACCCCGCCTGGGCTGGAGAAGCTCACCCAAAGGGAGGGACAGGACGTCAAAGGCTTTGCTCATTGGGGCACTTATTTTACTGGCTTTTTGCTCACAGACCACTTTCTTACATCCAGGAGATGCACGTTTCTCAGCCACACGCCTAGAAGGCCTTCAAGGGACAAGACTGGACCACAAATTCAACCTTGTGTCAATTCTCTTCACCCACTTTTCTCACCAATGCCCAAGCCAAAAACTTCCCCTCACATCAACTGTCCAGGGGAGAGCAACCCTTTACTACTGAGGTTGAAATCTAGTGGTGTCTGCAGCAACCAACCAACTGGTAAGGGCAAGCCCGAGAAGTTCTAAGAGAGGCAGTCTTCACTCTCCTTGTGGGGCAGAGACAGCTCGGAGCTGCTGCAAGTGGGGGGAAGGCCAGGTCGTGCGTGGTTAGGGGCTGACTCTGGACCCACTGCAGCATCTCTTGGCCTGCAGAGAGAGTGCCTTGATGACACAGGGCTCATGACTGGGACCCCAGAGCAGGCCAGCTCCCCAAGGGGACATTGAAAGGTGTGACCCCAGCCCGGGCCTTCCCAGCTGCCCCATCCACATCTCCCCACTGCCTTCCCGTAACTCCCAAGTGCCCTGGCTCAAATGCTTGGGGCACACATGGATGCTCAGCTGAGCAAGTGATCCTGCAGGTAACCGAGATGCCAGCAAATCCAACAGCAAGTCCTCCACCACAGTCCAGCCAAGGACACCCACCTCGGGCCTGGTTGGAGGAGTCCCAGCTCCCAATACTCCGAATTATGTGGAACAGCCACTGCCTCCCCTCCAAAGGTCCGACAACAAGGACGTGTGTCAAGCCGGTGGCAGTGAACTGTGTCTTCAGCTGAATGAAGGTTTGGCTGTGCATCTCGATGCGGTGGAGGTTGGCGTCCAGGCGGCCTGCGAGGAGGGATGCAGGTGTAAAGGACCACAGCACGAGGGGGTAGGGGAGGCATGGAATGGGTGGGGGTGATGATAGGGACCTGGAACAGATGGCTGGGGATGGGAAAGGAGAGAGGGCATGAGGGCGTGAGCAAGGACCACTCACCAAAGATGAACTCCTCCTGCTCCTCTTCTATGTAAAATTCTAAAGGAAAGTTCAAGTTTTCAGGAAAGACCCACCATGGCTTGATCTCCATGTCCTTAACCTCTCCTACCAGCTGCTGAATAGGGGCAAGTTCAAGCAACTTATCAGAACAGGGCTTAAAAGCAATTAGGAAAGGCCAAGGGTCTGTGCTAAATATAAACATCTAAACATCTCCATCCTAGGGCAGGAGGGCCTATCCCTATAGCGTTTCAAGAAAATCCATTCCAAGAAACTGTCTACCCTGCACTAATCCCTTCATGGCCAACTGGATTATCTGACGAGTGTTTGCCGCCCTGATGCCCAGGAATTCAAAATTATAGTTATTCTAGTTTGAAAAGATCTTGGAGCAGATCTTGGGCATGAGCCAAGGGAGGGCTGCGGGACGGAAGGTCCCAAGGCAGGATTTTCCAAATCGGCCTCCCTAGATTTGGACAGGTACTGTTTCCATCTGCTTGCACAGCTATAAGGAAATATCATAGACGGGTGGCTTGTAAACAACAAGCATTTATCTCCCCCAGTTCTGGAGGTTGGAAAGTCCAAGATTCTGGCACCAGCAGAGCTTCCTGGTTCACTGATGACCTCCTTTTGGCTGTGTCCTGACATGGCTGGAAGGGCAGGCAAGCTCTCTGGGGCCTCTTCCAGGACATTCAGCACTGGCATAAGGAGACCTCCCAAAGCCCTCGTCTCTAACACCATCACCTTGGGGGGTTTGGAATTCAACATGCGAGTTTCAGGAGCTTACACCAGCCTTCAGACCACAGCAGGGCCACCAGCTGGCCTCAGCTATTCATGCGCAGTCAGATAAGGTAGGATTGTTAGGGTCCTGCATGGAGAAAGAGGAAACAGCACGAGAACACAGAGCTTCTTGGTAGGACGGGTTGCAGGGAGCCTATTACCGGATTTGGCTGCATGACTCTAAGGAGGATTTAGAGAAGCAGAGACCAGTTTTGTAAAAATGGAGCAATCTGTGGTTATCTTGGCAATTTGTATCCAGGAGGCAAGGAGATGAATGTGGTCTTGACTGCAGAGCTTCACTGTCCCTGTCTGGTTTCAAACCTATTTACAGAGTATATTGGTCTTTCTACATCTGGTTCCATCATAATCAATGAGTGGCCTTGACTGGTTAAAATATTCCGCAAGACAGCATGGAAGGAAGAGGAGGTTTATGTTTGATATGGAATATCGGAGTTTATCTGCCAGCTTCCTGCCACAAGCTCCTGGTACAGTTTCCCCAATTTTCAGTCTGCCTTTTTGCCCAAAAACAAAAGACAAAGGACATTCATCTTCAGAGTTCAGACCCCCACCATCCCATTGTCAGAATCCACTCATCACAATGTTTTCTGTAGAATTTGGTCTTCACCTGCACCCCAGTTACTCTCTTCCATGCCTTTGATTGCAAGACAAAATGTTAAAAAATTTAAAAAAGACCATGACTCGGAGGGGGGGTATAGTTCAGTGGTAGAGTGTGTGCTTAGCATGTGCAAGATCCTGGGTTCAATCCCCAGTACCTCCATTAAAAATAAATAAGATAAAATAAATAAATAAATGAACCTAATTACTATCCCCCACAAAAACAAAACAAAAATTAAAACAAAACAAAGACCATGACTGCACAGGGGCACTTAACAGTGGACAAGACATACGCACCAACTACTAGGTAGTTACTAGAGGCAGTCATTGTTCGTCCTATTAATAAGCTGCAAAGGAATGAACCTAGATTTCAAAACCAGGCCATGAAATCAAATGTCCATCCCACCTGAATCTGTTCTAGAAAGCCAGGTAGTCTTTTCTTTTAACCGATCACCGATGGTTCTACCTGGCCAGTAGTGTTTTAGGTAGTAGCAAGCAGTGTTTGCTGTGAAATGAAGTTCTTAGCTCCAAGAAGAAACCAAAGGCTGTGTAAATATCCATAACCACCATGGAACTACTTTAAACTAATTTGTTGGACCTCGAGAATGGAGATAGTGTCATCCGTGACTTCTGCTGGGGTCATAGAAAAATTCTGAGGCACTGTTTCTAGTGGGATTATTCCTACTGGAGTCAGAGCATCTGGAGTACAGGGGTAGGGGGAGCCCACTATCTGGCCAGGCCTCCTGGGGGCTCTACTAAATAGTCTGCTCTCCCCTATTTTTAGGTCTCTGAGTATCTTTTTCAGAGAAACAGTTTCCTACAGGAGTAGGTGTTTTCAATATTGGAAAGTCTCTAAAAGTTACTCCATATACACAAATAGGTTCTTGTAAAAATCAGGTGAAAGCCTGATGTCCACATAAAAGTAGTATCCCATGCAGCCACTTTGGAAAACAGTAGAGAGGTTCCTTAAGAAACTAAAAATAAAATTACCATATGAGCCAGCAATTCCACTCATGGCCGTATATCTGGAGAAAACTCTAATTCAAAAAGACACATGCGAGGGGAGGGTGTAACTTAGTGGTAGAGCGTGTGCTTAGCATGCAGGAGGTCCTGGGTTCAATCCCCAGTGCCTCATTTAAAAAAATTAAATTAAAATTAAATAAATAAATAGATAGATAAACCTAATTACCTCCCCTCCAAAAAAAACAAAAACAAAAACAAACAAACAAACAAAAAAAAGACACAGGCACCCCAACGTTCATAGCAGCACTATTTACAATAACCAAGACATGGAAGCAACCTAAATGTCCACTGACAGATGAATGGATAAAGAAGATGTGGTATACACACACACACACATATACATACAGTGGAATACTACTCAGCCATAAAAAATGAAATACCAATTGCAGCAATAGGGATGGACCTAGAGATGTCTTACTAAGTGAAGTGAGTCAGACTGCAAATTTCTTGAGCATGCTTATTTTCCTTTCTTCCAGTTGTCAAAAGCCCACATTCTCTTCAGATGGCGCCATGAACATAGACTTCCCAGAAGGCAGAGTTGGAGTCTGTGGATAGATTAACTTGCTGACGTTCACTCATTGTGAAGGATGAGAGCCATCAGCTCCGCTTTCTGGGCAGAAGTACCTGGTGGGAGGGCTCCTGCTTCTGGAGTTGCTGGTGAGTCACTGCTACACCTCCAGCTCTCCACTGTCCTTGCTCCACAAAGTTGATTCCATCAGTGTACAGATGTGCAACGTCTCAGTTTCCAGTGGGATACCTGCCAGGTCCCAGCAGCTGGAACAGATCTGCTCATTGATCTGCCTGCAATCAGAACCAGATGGCAGCAAGGTGGCAGGATTTAAAGCTGCTTTTAAAGCCATGTAGGCATTATCAGCAGGATGGCCTGATATTTGCCCTGCCTCCTAGAGGTTAACCAATATCCCTCTTCCTGTTGTAGGAGGGGCAGCACACAGTGTGGGGTGTGTACTGTCATTGGTTGCCCCAGAGTAAGCTTCTCAGCATCTTGAAGGTCACAGAGGCAGCTATGGATCACCAAGTAACTGGCCACCACCACTTTTTTGAGGGGAGATTAGGTTTATTTATGTATTTATCTATCTATCTTTAATGGGGGTATTGGGGAATTGAACCCAGCACCTCATCATTGCTAGGCATGCACTCTTATCACTGAGCTCTACCCTCCCTGCTCCAGTTGTTTTGAAAGAAAGGCTACTGGCCTGTAAGATTTGCCCAAGTTTTGAGTCCATACCCCCAGACTGACACTGTCTCTCCTCTACAAACAAATCAAGTGGTTTTCTTAAGTCCAGCATGCCAAGAACAGGGGCCGTGAGCAGCTTTTCTTCAAGAATTTGAAAAGCCTGTTGACATTTCCCTGTCCATCCAAGGGGTTCACCTCCCCATTCAGGGCATCATAGGAGGGTTTTAGCAAGTAGCCCAAAGTTTAGAATCCAGGTCCTACAGAAACCAGCCATGCCGAAGAATCCCCTCAGTTGCCTTCCATTCTTTGGAGCAGCCACTTGAGCTACTGCTACCCTCCAGTCAGGGTGTCAGGGAGTAGGTGTCTCCATCCCTGAGATGGCTCCAAGCCCAAACATTTAACAGAGGGTTGAGCTATTTGAGCCTTTTTCTGGGACAACTTACACCTTCCATCTGCCAGGAAATTTAGGGTCAACATTATGTTGAGGTTGGGATCTTCCTTCTTTTTGCTGGTGATCAGTAGATCATTCATATACTGGAAAAGAGTTACTCCTTTCCCTGTAAATTTCTCAAATCTTTAGCCAAGATTTCCCCAAGAATACAGTGGGGGAATTTTTGGATCCCTGCAGCAATACTGTCCAGTGGTATTGCTGTTTTGCATTGGTTTCAGATTCTTTCCATTCAAAGGCAAAAATTCTTGGGATTTGCCCTCTAATGGTTTGCAAAAGAAGTTCCCTGTCAGAGTGGGAGGATGGAACAAGGGTGGGGAGCTGCTGGGTAGATATTTTCCACAATTGTATTAATTACCCTTAGGTTCTGAAGGAATCAGTATTCCTCAGTTCTAAGGGGTTTTTTTTTTTCAGTGGGAGGATAATTAGGTTTTTATTTTTATTTTTTTTAATTGGAGGCACTGGGGATGGAACCCAGGACCTCATGAATGCTAAGAACGTGCTCTACCACTGAGCTATGTCTTCCCCTCAAGTGTTATTTTTATGATGTCTCATGCACCCAAAACTAAATTGGTTTCTCTCCCGTTAATCTATTTTGTGTTGATTGTATTAGTCCAGTCACAAGGATTCCAGACGGGTAGAGGGGAAATTTCCATCTCCCTGAAGTGCTCATCCAAGCTTTTGGTCAAACATGTAATAAGATTAATTCCTGACATGTGTCTAGTGCTTAGTAACTTATATTCTCTCCTATCTTGAGTCATTAAACAGTATGATATTCCTTTGCAATCGAATATTATCCCCTAAATTTTTATTTAAGTGCTCTGATGCTGAGAGAGGAGAATTAACTGCCTGAGAGCATCACAACAGTGTGAGGACGTCACAGCTGGACCACAAGCCTCGTGAAATCGAGTGTAATGTGTTTTCGGGCAGAGGAGTAATTGTCAAACTCTCTGATTTCAGAGCCCCTTTGTAGTCTTAAAAATGATTGAGGACCCCAAAAATCTTTTGTGTGTGTGAGCTATATCTACTGATACTTTATTAGAAATGAAAGTAAAAGAGTTTTAAAATATTCACTTCTAAAATAACAATAATAGGACACACTGCGTGTTAACATAAGTAACATTTTTATGGAAAAAAAACCCACTG